CCAACTCATTCAGGTTTGAGTCAAGTCAGAGACTAAGAGAGTGTAGAAGTCAAGACTGAGTTCACATGCTCCAGAGTCCATGACAAGATCAAGATTCAAGACCATAAAAATATGGTCTTGGACTTGAGACTGAGCCTTGTCATGGACACCGGAGCATGTGGACTTGACCCTCTACTGGTCTCTGTCTTAACTCAGACTTGAATGAGCTATAGTCTCGACTACAACATCAGATCATATAAATCATTTAGCAATTTCCAATTGATCAAAACTTATGTAGTTACTGAAATGTGTATATACCCTAAGATTTGTTTTCTTTCTAAATCCAAGGGTGTCTTCTGAAACAAAAAACTTACTGTTTATATTTTGCTTCATGGTTCAGTTCTCACAGGTAAGGGATGAGATGTTTAAGACCAATCTAGTATGCTCCTTCATCATGTTTCTTCTTCTCATGGCTGTCCAAGCCCTCATTCCTGTAGCCAGGTAAAGAGTCAAGTCAATCGATGTTCAGCACCTGAATAAGATTGTATTTCTGTCACAATTACAAACCATTGAGCTTAGATATGTTAAACTTCCCCTCCATTCCCTTCTTTGTTCATTGTTTTACCTACAGGTTGTATTACTGGACAGCATTGCAGTTCTGTCTGTTCTTGCTGGGATATCTGTTATTGCTTATAATGGTCCTGGCCGAAGAGTTCAAGCATTCTCCCGGTGTCCTTCAGCAGTTCTGCTGCTGGATCCATGAAAACAACAGTATGCGGAACCTTCTCACTGTCACAGCTATAGCCATCAACTTTGGCATGGCTCTGTTTGACATGGTGAGCCTGGCATGAATTGTTTTTTTTTTGTGCAACTTGGAATGCTGAGGCCATAAAAGTTTAAGTTTTTGATCTTCCGGTTTAAACGTCATCAATTTGTCTCTAGAGTATGCATGCCCAAACATAATATATGTAGTTATTTTGGGTGGTGTGGCATAATGGATCAAGTTCAAGGCTGGTAACTGTAAGGTTGCTGATTCAAGCACCATTGGGCATTGTAGTTCTTCATCTTGTGATTATCCAGATATGGTGTAACTCTACTGAGACAAGAGAAATAAGCACCGGTGAAACAGAGGAATATCAGACCAGCCAGAAGCCACTTACTGCCTGCACATATCCAGAGGTGTGACTTCTGCGTAAACAGGTCTGTTGTGAAGACTACACCTACCTGTTGTTAAATTTCATGCCTATTATATTTATGCATACAGTTCTTTGTTCTAAGTGGGGTGGTTTCTATGGTGACCTGTGCTGTGTTCCTGAGGCTGAGCTCTCTCTTAAAGTTGGCTATTCTGTTGTTGGTGGTGGTCATCTATACTTACTTCATTGAAATGTCCTTCCACATGCTGTATGTACATCAACCAGAGCAGGAACAGTCAAGCAGGTGAGTGTCTATGCTAGATCACTAACATATTCTATTTAGAAATGCCTTTAAAATATTTTCATGTGGTTAAAATTTATTTGCATTTTATACTCACATGGTCTCACTACCTCAGAAGAAAGGGAGTCTCAATTCTGTTGATGGCGATGTTTGTCATAGCGGTGTTCTACAATGGTCGACAGGTATGAGTATTCAGTTTTGACAATACATTGCCCTGAAGCATTGTATTCTCTATAGTATGTATCCATTTATCTGGCAGGGAATGGGAAAATGTAGGAAAAATGGAATACACATCCTTATTCTCTGGATCTTGCTTTTTCCCTGATTCAGTGGGAAGCAACAACACGGCTAGACTTCCTGTGGCGTTTGCAAGCTCAGCAGGAAGTGCAGGAGATGCGAGATCTGAGGGAACACAATGAGAGTCTGCTGCATAACATCCTGCCTGCACACGTTGCTCGTCACTTCCTAGAGAGGAACAGACATGATCAGGTACATCAGAGTCATATGTAAGCCATCAGTGATGATGTTAATTATGACTGAAAATGTGAGTGGTGCCTTTGCAAAAATTGCTCCCTTGGTGTTAGGATGGTCTTATCAACCACCAGGTGAAAACAGAAAGTCTGATAGCTTAGATGAGAAATACCACAGCTCAACACAGTTTAAGGTATCATTAATGTCCATAGCAATTTAAGGTGTCATTTAGATCCCTAAACCTTTAAGCTATGGTAATAATGATGCACCACTAATAAACTAAATAGACCAAATAAAGGCCCAAACTTCATGTTATCTTTGTCCAGGAGCTGTATTCTCAGTCCTATGATGAGGTGGGGGTAATGTTTGCCTCAATCGCTGGCTTTAATGAATACTACGAGCAGAAGGAGATCAATCACGAGGGAGTTGAGTGTCTCAGACTGCTCAATGAGATCATTGCAGACTTTGATGAGGTAGGACTTTGATGAAAGGTTATACTTTTTTTACTGTTGTTTTTATCTCTCAGTCGGTCTTACAAAGCCATCATTGTTTTTGGTTCTCTCTGGAAAAGCTGTTGGAGGAGTCATATTTTTTGGACATTGAGAAAATCAAAACCATTGGGAGTTGCTACATGGCAGCGTCTGGTCTATCACCTGATAAACAGGTAAACCATGTTAAAAAAACAGCCTACTTCATTGATTATATACATTTGGAATTTCCCATCAACTGTCTATGCACCATAATTGTTCTGTGTTTTATCCTGACAGTCTCGTGTTGTAAATGACTGGCATCATCTCAGTGAGTTGGTTCTGTTCGCTCTGGCTATGAAAGAGACCCTGAAAGAGATCAACAAAAAACATTCCTCAAACAATTTCCAGCTCCGCGTTGGTAATGGGTCAATGAATAGACCTCAGTCAGAGTATATGCCATATTTAATTTGGATGTGAATGAGGCTGTAAATAGAAAATATTTTGTACTGTTGTTGTGTACCTTGGTGTCCGTCACAATACATTTCCACAAAATATGGGTTGTACGACAGATTGAACAGACTTGTACTTATGTTTCTCACAACCTTGCTTTGTTTCATGTCATGTTCAGCTAAGTTCTGCTGTAACTTACAGTTACGATTTTCAGCAAATACCAACTTCAATTTCAGTCTACTCCTATAGCATCGAATGCCTTCGAAAGACTTGCCGTTTTTGGATCTTGACAGACTCTGGTCATTAGACACTTTCATTGTAAAATATTTTCTTTTTTACATCTCCTTAAATATGTCAGGCACTCTGATTATGAAGCCTATACAGTTACCTGTAATTTATGCCAATAACAATGAGTATATATGAGTAACTTCAATGTACCCCCTAGGAATTGCCCATGGTCCTGTTGTTGCTGGGGTCATCGGTGCCACCAAACCGCAGTATGATATCTGGGGCATGACAGTGAATTTGGCAAGTCGAATGGACAGCACTGGAGTCAGTGGAAGGATTCAGGTCCCTGAGGCCACACGTAATATTCTAGCGGACTGGGGCTTTGTGCTAGAGTTGCGTGGTGAGATATACATAAAGGGTGTCAGTGAGAGAAAGGGACATGTCCGAACGTACTTCATCAGCACCAAAAGGCGTCAGCTGTCAAGAAACAGGATTACAGACAGAGGAAAGAACGGACGGAGTGGGAGGACAACGCTTGCTGCTGTGGTCTTTGGCCTTGTACAGGCCATTCACAGAGAGAAACAGAGAGATACCAATGGAGGTTTAACTCTGCCAAACAACAACTTTAACAACTTAAAATTATGATATGAAACATCAAACCTATATTTACCATAATTTGAGGGACATCCAGTTGAAACACTGCCTTCATCTTTAAAAGGATACCTCAAATATCATATAAAATCCTTATATGGATTTGTCTATACAACAAAGTAGAATAATGACTATTTTTGTACCTATTTCATAAATACTGTATATTTTCATAAATTTCACTTGGGCCACACATTTAGTAAGGTTCTTGATACGCTACATTTGACTTTGCTACAGCCAATGTAAACATGTTCAGATAATCACATGAAAAATGCAGTTTACAGAATTGTTCCTCATACATGCCTGACAGCATAAAAAAAAATTGTTCCTCATACATGCCTGACAGCATAAAAAAAAAAAAAAAAACTCATATGTACCATAGATACAAAGTGTGCACAAACTGTTACTTCTTTATGAGTTCTATGATCTCAAAAGATTATTTTGTATCTCACAGGATTATTAAAGAAGATTCTGAAAATGTTATATATTTTTTAACATCTATAATACTTGTTTTTAAGGTTAAAATATAGTTTTATATATAGTATAATATTCTATATTTTTTCTCAATATAAATTTTAATGCCAATTAAAGTGTAAAAATACATGTGTAACAGCCATTTTATATACATTAAACCACCTTTATCTACCAAAATATACTTTAATATGATTAATGTTTAATGATCAAAGTATTGTATTGAAAACATAAAATGTCACACACATTAACTGATTTTGTAGCCTTTTGTAGCATTTGTTTAATATTCCACTGTAATCATGATAACACCATGGTATTCTTTCTTTTAGTACTATGCATCCAATTACATGCATTTGTATATTGACACAATTTGAATATATATAAATGTATGAATGAAAATAAATTAATGTATCTGCCTTTTGTCTGTTCTTTTCTTTATGCTAGAAAAGTTCTTATTACATAACAAAGTTGAGTCAAGTACCCCATCCCTTTCAAAAACGCTTTACCATGGTAACCACTATTCCCGCCAAAAATACTACAGTAACAGCTGGTTTTTTAAAGAAAACATAAAGACTTAAAATAAGACGGAAAGGTTTTTTTTTTACCTTGTTTGAAGCATATAGCGTGTATGGTTACCATGGTATTTTTGTAATGGACATAAACATACCGCCTCTGTTTCTTACCAATGTGGGCGTACAAGTGTTGTGTTGTTTAAAACAAGGCTATAAAATTACAGTGTTGAATTTCAATCTTTAACACTATTCGCCAGTTGCGATGAAACCATACAGTCTATGGATGAACCGTAGCTCTGAGTTCGATTAACTAACCACTCTAGAGGAATGTAGACTCTTGACTCGATTGGTTTGGGCTGGTATTCTGCGCGGGTGCTTCAGTGCTTCTGCACGCGGGTTGAGCGCTGTTACTCATTGCATTGTAGTTATTGGCCTTTCTGACCACAATTAGATTGCAAACTTTTGCTTTTCACAATTATAAACGGAGAAATGGCTGATTCACAGGATGACAAACTCTACAAAGCCGAGTATGCGAAAAGTGGACGCGCCTCTTGCAAGAAATGCAAAGAAAACATAGCAAAAGCCTCGTTGAGAATGGCCATTATGGTGCAGGTGAGGAATTGTGTGCAACTTTCAGGCAATAATACTGATAGAATATCATCTGTGGTTTTGTAAATGCATTTGGTTTTGCGTTTATGTTCTTGAATGCTAGGTGTAATCGATGCGATTGCATATATTATACACGACACGTATACGTATGATTGTGTCTGAGGCCCAGGAGGAGTTTAAATGGTTCACAGTCAAGGAAAGAAAGAAATTAGCAGTGAATTCCTATGGCCATCAGTTTACATTGGCTTTTAGTGATGTTTTGGGCAACATTAGCAAGAAACAAATGTAAAAAAGAATGTTGCTTTTGATTTTGTGGGAGCAATAAACACAAAGCTGTGTTATTGCAATGCATTGATAGTACAGTGAAGCCCAGTAGAAACGTGTTTTAAATGGCCATGTCATGTCTGTTTTTCATTTCAAGTCTATGCATTCATGACTTATTAAACTCATTGTTTACATTTGTTTGCGATAGACTACTGTAACACCATAGACATGAAAGAGCACTGTAAAAATACCCAATATTTGTTTAGACGTGATCTGTTATACTGTAAATTCTCAGCTGTTCTCAGGACCGGAAATGACCAGTTTGCTGACTGCTGTGACATTGTTTTTATGTGCTTTCAGTTTACAGGCATTTCATTCATTGTTGCATAACATGGTTGCTGTATCTAATTGGTTATTTCTTGTTTAATGGTCCAACACCTGTCTGTGTTCCACAGTCTCCCATGTTTGATGGCAAAGTGCCCCACTGGCACCATTTTTCCTGCTTTTGGCTCCGGGCTGCAGTACAGTCACCCTCTGACATATCTGGATTTACTGACCTCCGCTGGGATGACCAGGAAAAAGTGAAGAAAGCCATTGAGAGCGGAGGTGCTACAGGAGGTAATTTGTTAATATTCCTTTTGACCAAAGCACTGATTTTGCTTTGTTGAGTGTGCCATATGGGCTGCAAAGCGTTAGGCTTAAGTCACTAAGTCTTGAATTAATTCATTAATCCTCATTGCTTTGCAGGTAAAGGAGAGCAGAAGGGAGCAGCTAAAGGAGAGAAGACACTGAATGACTTTGCAGTGGAGTACGCAAAAGCCAACAGAAGCACCTGCAAGGGGTGTGATCAAAAAATCGAAAAGGTGCATTTTGTATTACCTTTTGTTAGACAAATGATGCTTTTGAACACAACAAGTTAGTTATAAGTTAATCTGTTCTTCCCTGCTGGTGTCCAGGACCACATCCGTGTGTCAAAGAAGACAGTGGACCCAGAGAAACCTCAGCTTGGTCTAATAGATCGCTGGTACCACACTGCCTGCTTTGTGAGCCGCCGTGAGGAGCTACTGTTTAAACCAGAGTACAGTGCCGCCCAGCTCAAAGGTTTCGCAGCTCTTCGAGATGAAGACAAAGAGGAGCTGAAGAAAAGACTTCCTGCTGTGAAGAATGAAGGGTGAGCTTGCAATTTCTTATTTAGGTTGCTGTCATGTTGCATCAAACTATAGAAGCACCTCTTTAGGATGCTTTTTGCTTCTTTATGTAGATTTACAAAAATCAGCATAACTATTTATGTAAACTGGATAGGTTTGTGTAGCAATTTCAGCTTAAAAGATTTTGCATGGATCCGTCATACGTTTCAAAACATGAGCAAAGTATTGTTATCTACAGTAGTCTATCACAAGTAGGGCTACATGCTTAATTTTAATAAAACAGAGACTGCAATATGAGTGCGATTATCAAATCGTAAAGGCTGCAATTTAAATGAATATATGCACTCCATGTTTCAGAGTGAAATGTGGCACTGTGTTCTTTTACATGCACATGATTCAGTGTCTCAGAGCGGCTCGGTTCACAGTTAATGCTGCTCATCTCTGGATGTGTTGTCAGTTTGGGTCGCTTATAATGAGCATTTGGGAACACAGCATGCACCAACCTTTTTCCCCAATTTGTAATGAGAAGTGCTTATAAACTAGGTAGTGTCAACAAAATTTTAAAGGCTCCCTATGATTTGATTTGTAATGTTCGAAAATTACTCAATTTAATACAGCCAAAAATATTACTATTTTTCTTTTGCAGTTGTACTTTAAAATAAAAATTCTTTTATTTTTCTTAAATACTCAATTTTTTTCTATTACAGTGAAATACTACAATAGTATATTTTATTCTGTTTAATATTTTAATTAATCAATAGTAATAATTATAATAAAAATGATTGTTATAACATTGATGTATAATCACAGAATTTTGGGCAAAATAGTGCAGCCCTACAAGCAAGCACACCTTTTTTTTAAATTGCCATTTTTATCAGAAAAATTACAATTAGATTTTTCCCCCTAAATTATTCAGCCATAGTCTTAAGTCGTATTTAAAAATAGTATTTTCTCTCTCAAATTAAAGAATGTTTCACAGAAATATATAGACAATGCACATACAGAATACAGGTCTGGTTTTACACATTAAACCACCTTAGAATTATGTTTTTAATCCCATTATTAAAATGAAGATTCTTTTCAGTTTTTTATTTGGGACTAGACTAAGTGTTATTGTTCAGGATCTTTGAGTGTTGTTGTTGCCTCCTCCATCGTCATGCTGCTCATCGCCATCACCGATGCCTCTGCAGCACAGGAAGATGGCCTTGAAGGCATTTCTGAAGGTTTTCATCTTGTAGGCATATAGGAAAGGGTTAACAGCCGAGTTTGCGTGGGAGAGAATAATGGCCGTTAGTAACAGCGGTAGAGGCACAGGACATGACGGACACAGCAGCAGGAAGCAGTTGATGATATGTAGTGGAATCCAGCAGGACGTGAAAAGGAAGAGGACCAGGAAGAGCGAAGTGGCCATCTTCATCTCTTTCGTCATCTTGGCTGTTCCCTCCGTGTTGGCTGCACCACCGCGCTCTGCCGCAATCCTCCTCATCTGACGTTTGACCGTGACAAAGATCTGCGCGTAGATGAGGAACATCACCACCAGGGGGGTCAGAACGCAGACGAAGAAGTTGAAGTAGACCATGTAGGTCATATCCACCACCAACACGAAGAAACAGTACCCGGACTCAGGCGGAGGCTTGTGCTAACCCATCAACGGCACCAGACCGATCAGGAAGGCCAGCGTCCAAGTGAAACACAAGACAAGCACTCCGTTGCGAGGTGTCATGAGCCGGTGGTACTGGAAGGGCATGAAGATGGCAATGTAACGCTCAATGGCGACCGCCAGCAGGCTGAAAATGGAGCTCTGGGTTAGCATGATGAGCACAGATAACATTAGCAAACACAGATACAGATTGTGCCGTGGAATGCCCAGGTCTGTCATGATGGCGCAAGGGATCGCCAGTGAACCCACACAGATATCAGCCACCGCTAATGACACCAGGAAGTAGTTCGTAACCGTTTGGAGCTTCCTGTTTAGTCCCACTGCAACACAAACTAGCAGGTTGCCCACAATGGAGAGGAGGGCTATGACAAGCTCTGCTATCATGTAAGGCAGATTTATGGATGCTAGGATGCTTGGCGCAGCTGTTGTTGTAGTAGTAGAAGTAGTAGTACTAGTAGTGGTGGTGGTGGTGGTTTGGGTTAGTTTACCTTGCGTAAGTGTAGACATGGTGGACGTGGCCAACTGCAAAAAGGTGTTATTTTCATAAGAGGTGTCATTCATAAAAATCGTGTTGGTATAGAAGAGAGTCGGCGAGAATGTGAAGTTGGCAAAATACTGATTCATTTTGACCTGTAAACATAAAACCAAGTAAGGAAGAAAAATTATAATTGAAAATCAGATATTAAAGGGTTAGTTCACCCAAAAATGAAAATTAGACTGTGTTTTACTCGCCCTCGAAGCATCCTATGTGTATATGACTTTCTTCTTTCAGACGAATCCAGTCGGAGTTATATTAAAAATTAGGGGTGCTCCGATTGATCGGCTACCGATCACAATCGGCCGATAATCGCTTTGGGATGATTGATCGGTGGTATCTAAAAAGGCCGATCTCCTAAAACCGATCTCAAGCTGAGGTCACGTGAGAGGTTTGACATGACATGCAGCGGCGCCGTCTCTGTCCGGCATGGGTGAAATAATTATAATGCTTTAGGTGAGGTACAATTCATATTTCTTCATTAAATAACTTAAAGTAAATTGAAAAAGTTTCTGTGAGACATAATTTCACAAACAGCGTGAGTGAATCACCGCGCGCGCTCTCTTTCTCTCTGAAAATGCAAATGTCTTCAAATCACATCGCGTCTGCACTGTAAGCGAGCTGCATGCTGCACAGTTGACACAGGAATTGTCACTTGCACTATCGAGGCAGCGTCGCATCGTAACTAAAGTTTATAAATTAAATTTTTTTCTTTTTAATTCTTGCCAGTGTTTAAACCATTCAACGCTCGCGTGCTCTCCTGGAGACCGTGCGCTCATGCATACTCGCAGCGCACACACATAACGCCAGGTTCACATTATTTGTTTGCAGTGCGTATGTGGTGCGTATTTTTTCGGCGCTCATTTTAACGGATTAAAGCGTTCTCGCTGCACACACGGTTGCGGTCTGGCAGTGCGTTTAGGAGCGGTGCCTCTGCAGCAGTGCAGAGATCATTTCCGCAGTCTATTTTTGCTGCGCCTCACGCGCTGAATTAAAGTAACAGCGCATTGTTTGCGGTAAATATGATCATGCATTGACACAAAAATTTAGTAATTACACCATAAATGCATATAATTAAAGTCTACTGTGTTTCACAGTCAACACATAGGCTATGGCTTTTTGGCTAGGTTTAAAGGAAAAGAGCACTTTTAGATAAACAAGGCAATAATTTTAAAGTTCTTAA